AAACAACAAATAATTTGATTCATATAATGATTTTATGCAAGATTACTATATTTTTCTGTAGTTTCCGATCAATAATTTTTAACGAGAGTAAGTGGAGTAAATAAATTTTTATTTTAAATGAATATTTATTATTGTTGATCAATACACACACACACACACACACACACACACACACACACAATCCGATTAAAAAATTTCAATTCGTAATATTACTTTTTTATCAAATTTGCAAATGAATATTATAAAACGCGATTTTATATCAAAATCAAGACAAACAAAAGAATTAAGTAAGTAACTGTAATAATAGAACAGTCCATGAAATTTATATATTTTTGGTATTGTTTTTAAATGCGACACCTACATCCTTAAAGATGTAAATACATTTTTCTAATATGCTGCAGAATATTATTATTACTATATATTATTTTTTACACAGAAATCTAAGTTACACACATATATGAAATCAGTTATTACGTATTTGGATTGGCAATATCATAGACAAGTAATCGAACACAGAGAAATCGAATAATACTCACGATCGACTCTTTTTTCAACGTAACAGCAATTCGAAATATTCGCTCTGACGCAACAAAAAGCAATCTATAGCTTCATTAGACGCCCATTTATTAGCCGTTACAAGAAAAAGAGAAATGTCCCTTTATTTGAATTTGTGATTAATGAGATGCTAGACATTCAAAATATCAGACTCATAACGCTAACATTTCACTTAATAGAGTGAAAGGCTTGACAGAAACGTCATATTTTTGAAGTTACTTTTTCGTCGAGAGGATTTCTACCTGATGATATTTAAATAACAATGTAAAATGAATATAAATTTGTGAAAACACGTTAAAATCTTCTTGGTTAATTTACCTGTGAAATAAATATACATTTAGAAAAATAATTATAAATGCCGCAGTAAAAACAGAAAGAATTTAAAGAATGTTTAAAACTCGTTTAGATCTGACATTTTAACTATTAGACGATAAATGCAATAACACACATAACAACCGAGAAATCTTGTTAACATACTATAAATTGAAAATTAAGGCTATAAAATTCTGTAATTAAAAACCGGAAAGAACCTTTACGGAGCGTAATTCCGTTGACATAAAGTAAATTCATTCTTTTTTTATTACCCATTTTATTATCCATAATTATTTAAATATATGTACTTTTTATTACCTGGATAATCTACTCTTTTGCTGAAAGAATGCCGTGAATGCTCGCAAGAAAATACATCTCGATAACCGAAATCAATATCCGACTATTAATTACGATGGCCGTATTAATTATGTATAGCGAGATATCGGGTATCGGTGAAAGTATTTATTGATTGACAAATCGAAAGTAAGTTTCTTGGCAGCTATTCGGTTGGTGATTGGTGTTATTAATGATGACGTGAATATTTAAGTGTTTACACTGATGCATATTACATCCACATTACAAAAACGTTCGATGAAATGCGTCAAAATCAACGGATTATTTATGCGCTTTCGCGCATAATTATGTCGCAACAGAAAGAGGGAGAGAGGAAAAGAGAGTGAGAGAGTGAGAAAGAGAAAGAGTTAAGGGAAGAAGAGAAGATAAAAAGAAAAGAATTTTCAAATAGTTTCTGTGCTAAACGAGGGTATATGCAAATGTGTACGTATAAGAGAGCTCATTCCCGGATCTTCAATTCGGAATTTCAATTCGTCTCCATACTTCGAGTCATTAGGACGGTCGCCGGATTATGCGCGAAATTCGACAAGTCTGATTTGTGCGATACTCGGGTAATCTGCGTAATTCAATGAAAGAGAAAGTAGTAGCACTAATGTATACGTGAAAGTACGTGGCCGGGGATACATTTGCAAAGGAATATTTGACGATTGGAATCCCTGCTCGGTGTCCAGTTGTCCACCAGTGGCGCTTATCATGGAAATCGAACGCATCGTGAATTTTCGGCGTTTCGGCTACACCTCGAATACTTTCTCCCGGTCAGAACATGGCGCCGTTAATCCTTCGCGATCGGTGTTATTATTTTTATCGCCGCTTTAACAACCGGAAAGCAGTACCTTAGGCTCGAAAGTTGAAAGCAAAGATTCCGGTTGCGAGACGTCGCGAAAGCCTGGAAGAAAAAATTACAAACATCCGAATCAATCAATTTTTTGTCAATAGAAAGATAAAAATATATAAATATAGCCAAAGGCATCTATATATCTATATAAATTATAAATAAGTCATTACTATTAATTTAATTTCTTGATAAATTATATTTATAAATGTATCTCTTTCTATTCCATATTTATGATATATAAGTAACAGTGTGTTCTATAGTGGAAATTGATAAACTTACACATAGAAAGTGAAAAGAAATAGAAAGCGATTTTTTTAATTAATTACTGATATCGACCAGAGGAATTTGATTTCACCCAAATGATTCTCCTTAAATTTCTACGAAAAAATTTTCATTTCTTATATACGATTGTAACTGTAGAAATTATCTCGAAAAAAACACACACACACACACACACGTCATCGTTTAAACTTAACATATTTGATGAGCGTGTCGTATTGAATTTTTTACGGTAAATGTTAGGTGCGAAGAGCATATAATTTGCGCGAGTCACTCTCACGCAAACCGTTTACGCATTGAATTGCAAAACATATACTTAGATCATCGGAAACCTACGAGACTGGGGGAAATCCGTAATGAGTTCATCGAGTCGTTTTCTTGTCGGTTCTGAATTCCACGGTGACTTTTTTTGCGAGATACACGTGAGAATGACTCATAAAATTTGATAGCTCAAGATAGATGTTCACGCGTAATCCGGTAACACATGGACGCATATTAATCAACCTTTGTCGACATTGCCGAACAATTTATATTTTATATATAACTCATTAATGAGAATAACATTATCTTTGACGAAAAAATATTGGGTGATCCAATCGCAAATTTAATTTTTATTTAATTCTGGCAAAAATTAGGATTGGAATGTGAATCAAATGTATTATGCCTGTTCTACACTAGAGTCGCAAGTTGTAAGCCGTAAGAAATTGGCCAATCATAGTTGAATGTGAGAAAAATCGATAATTAGTTAATTTTGTACAACTTATAGCTTGTGACCTTACTGTAGAACAGGCTTAAAGAGTAGAGTGGTAGAAGTATAAGTAAAACTTGTAGAAGACGAAAATTAAGACAACGTAAAAAAAATCTAAACCTTGTTTACATTTTGTGTTTCAATTTTGTCTCTTACATTAATTCATTTTTATTTCTTTTGATGAAGAATATATATTTTTTAAGTCAAACATATTGTATTTGCCGAAATATATATGTACATTCTCCAACGGAAGAAATAGAAGCAATTAAATTAATTTAGTCAATAAATCATTTTTTTGTCAGTGTAATTAAACAGAATTAATGAAGGAAATTTAACAGTTAGCTTAAATTGAACAGAAATTTGATTGTTACATTGTCAACAGAAAATTGTTGGCTTTGTGACCCTGACCTGACCTAATCCAGCGGGATGATGTCATTGATAGAAGGCATGTGTTAGCATGGCGCCTACGCTCGGCGAACATGTAAATAAGGATCGTATTACATATGCGATTTGGGCATATCGCATAATTTTCATATAAATAAGCAGAGCGCTTAAAGATCCTTGAACGCGATTATTTCATCGTTAGAAAATATTAGACGATACGAATATGAAAGTGTTATTATTCATACGCCTCGTCATTGATATCTGTCCAGCCCATGTGCTTATATAATATTAGAAATAACATACAAAGTGTATTAAAAATTATTTCTTGTCACTTCGTGGATTAAATGTCACTTGAGAAAATAATCATCTCGAGATGTTTGCATATATGATTATACAATATATTATTCGTGGCAATTATCTGTATGTATTGCGAGATTCTGAGATAATATCAGGCAATATTTATAGATTATATAAGAATTAGAGATTGTAAATGTAGATAGCAGATTCATATGTCGCAAAACGTAAATCTTGTCTTCGGTCATTAACTTCCATTTGGACAAAGTTCACATTAAAAATTTAAAATTAAGCGGATAGGAAGCCATGACATTTAAATAACTTAGATTATTTTTTACTCAGGCCTGAGATTTTCTTTTGCTGATGTCAATTATTAAATGTGTAAAAATAAAAAAAATAAAAGAAAATGCTTACTTAAGGCAGTACTTTACAGATTCATAATCAATTCTTATCAAGATTGTCTTAAGTAATGTCTTAAGACGCTAATGCGGTGGTTCGTAACATCTTAAGACTTAAGATGATCTTAAATATAAGAATCAACTATGAATATCGGTCTTTAGAGAATCCTTCAGATTAGCATCTAAGACATTACTTGTGATGGTTTTGAAATAAGAACTGATTATGAAAACCTGTCTATGTCTCACTTTATATCTCACGGAATTTTCTCACATAAATTTATATCTCATCGATGTCGCTAAAGACCGCGGATGAACCATAAATGAATTACTCCTACGTGAAGCCTTGTTCCCACGTTGTCTGCAGAAGCAACTTCTGCAGTCACAATCCTCCGCCGTGATCTCCCGCTAGAAGCTCGGAACATCCTGGTGCCGTTCTAGAACGTTCCATTCCTTTCAGGTCAGTGGTTGTTAAAACGGGCTAAAGTGTAATAAAATTATAATATAATATTCGCGCAACGATCATACTTCTTGGTCTTAAAATAATTCATCGCGTCGCCTGCGCGTCCGGGAAAGAAAAAAAGCGTTGTTGCAAAAGTTTGCACACTTTTACATCCTATGTGATACGAGATATTCGAGAAGAACCAGTCACGATCACTACAAGAGGCGAGCAAAAATCCTTTCCTTTCTTTCTTTTTTCTTCTCTTCTTTTTCTTTTTCGTAGACATCATGTGAGATGTGGAATTGACGTTAATGAAATCTTGGTTTATTTACTCGCCGTATGTGATTGAATTATATAAAGTTCGAGATAATTATTTAATATTGCTTTTTTTCACTTTTTTAGATTTCCACGATGATACCATTGCTAGAAATGCTATTAGTTATAGTAGCGTTAGCTACGCACGCACGTGGACTCCCCTATAGAGAATTGTCACCTCAATTGCAGACACGTGAGTAATGCAGACTGGGAATTCGTGTTTAATTTTTTTTTATCTATATCACAAGTTTAATAATTTCATGTGTTATTTTATAATTTTTCATTATAAATTTTCTATGAAACATGAAGTTCGAGAAATCTCACCTTTCTGTTTATATTTACTAAAGTTTTGTCTCGTAATTTAAATTGCTTTGTATTTAAAAGAAATTGTGAGCTAGAGTGTTTCAAAAAAGTCAACCACGCAAAATTATCTTCAATGAGGTCGTATTTCAGAAGACGAGCTCGCCTGGTATGGCGATGATCATATTTTCCAAACACAAAACTACCCTATATTTACAAAGATAATATTGTTTCAGAACAAATTGATCAAGCGCAATTTAATTGGGATCAATCGCAGCAAAGTAAGACTCTAATATCACGTTATTTATTTCGCTTATTTAATAAAATACTTTATTTAATTTATTATATCGTTATAATGTTATTGTTGCAGATAAGTTCGAAGAATATCAAACGCATGCTTCTTCAGAATCACAGAAGCAACTTAATCTTGATTATACGTATCAACCTGATCAAACGTTGCAGTCCAATCCTAGCGCCGTAGATGGCTTCACCATCAGTTGCAGCGGTAAAAATAAAATCTGCGTGGCCAAAAGTCTATGCATCAACGGATATGTGCAGCCTTCAAAGCAAGGCTTTATTCGGCCAGGACAGGTGAGATCTCTTTTCGTCATTTCTTGTCGCTATTAATAATTTTTTCCCGCGTACACATTTTAATATTAATCGAACTCAACTCGCAATTCAGACTTAATAACCTTCTAATATTTGCACGCAGGTGCAAGAATGCAAGCTCAGTCACGAAGCATGCTGTACCGTGCAATACAATGTGTATTATCCATTCGATATCGATCCAATTAATGCGGTGAAGGACAATCAGTATCCGAAACCTACTCTGGAAAATGATGAGAAATACGTTCCATTCGGAGATAATAATCAGGCAGACGTGACCGAATTATTGAAGCCTCCGTTAGAAAACAACGTTAACATATTGCAATCCCCATCGGACAATAGATTCGATATCGAGTCTGCTAATCAGCCTCATGTCAACGTAAGACCGACCGAAGAGATATCAGTCGATTACAATCATATACCCTCCGATACGAATCAACGGGAACAATATCAAATAGGTATGCGATAACACTGTTGGCATGTTCTTCAATATTTCTTTTTTTTTCTTTGTATTAATATGGATTGACATTATAGGTGATAGTAGTGCTAACGATCCAGTAAATTCCTTCCCATTAAAATCAGCCCCTACGAATCCGAATTCCGCGGTCTTCCAATTGACAATTCACATGGGATGTGCGGCCGCCCTGCTTTGCGTAGAAGAGCAATACTGTACGTTAGAAGGAACGATTAGTCCGCAACCAATTGCGCTTAGCAGCAAGGAACTTCTACGACGTGTTCCCTTAAGTGTAAGCAGTATAAAAAACATTTTAGTCAAAAGACGTTTTAAGAAGGTTTTCCAGTTTTTTTCATAATATAAGGATTTAAATTGAAAAGTTTGTAATTAATATGTAAACATTTCTGAATTTTTTCATATTTTTTGATTAAGTAGATTTCTTTAAATAATTTTCTAAAATAGCTAAAATTCTTATAAGAAAGAAAGGTTTAGTTAATATACAATAATTGTAAATAAAATATAAAAATTTTGAAGAGTTATATGGATACAAAAGGATGAAGTTTAAATAAGAACATTTTGGAATTAAAAAAATGAAATTTCACCATTCATTTTTGTAAAAATATAAAATGTTTACGAATTACTTTAATTACTTCACTTTAAATATGACGTTACACTAGTGAAAACATGGTAACGTCGTTTTCATCAGAATTATCAATATTCAAATTTAAATAATTACTATAAACAATTTTTCTTCGATACTTTTCCACATAAATATTTATTTTTATTATAAAGATTATTTTTTAATGGAAAATTATAGTTTTATTACTAAAATTTTATTCATTATTTATTCTTTAGAAAATGACAATCGCATTTTGCATCCTTTTGTATTCTTGTATTAAGATAAGAAAAATTATATGATATTATACTCCTTTCTTTAAACTTTTTTTTAAACTGTAGAATTTCCTTAATTATCGAATCGAAATAATTTGAAACACAAATTTGACATTACAATTGTACAGGTTTGATAGTAATATAATTTTACATGTTCCAGATCAATAATAATTTGTAATAATTGCCGATAATAAAAATATTCTAAATAGTCAAATAAAGATAAAATGATTAAGAAAAATAGATTGGATCGCATGTTCACGAGTTGTTCGTTTCGCAGAGCTGCAGAATCTCAGAGACCGGAGCAGTCGGTAAGTGTTGCCGCGATCCGAACTACGTGGATCCATGGCCGACGGGCAATTTGCCAGCCAACTACACCGGTGGTTTCGACGAGCAAGGCTTTCCGACATTCTTGAACATTGCGAAGGTACAACCGCCGAAGAAGCTGATCATCCAGCCACCCATCAAGACGACTCCCAGGCCGCCGATCAAACCATCCGTCGCGCCACCGCAGGTTCATGAACAGTTACAGCCGACGAACGTCGTGCCCCTGGTATCGGACGATTCCGACGTCATCCCGCAACGCGTATTACCAATTTCGACTCCGATTCCAATAGTGCCCCCGGTCAGCAGCCCCGCGCCGTTCAATATTCCAAATGATCCTCCCGTCGTGCCGGAATTGCAATTGCCCAATAATCCATGTGGAGTGAGAAATTACGTAAGTATCTCGATAGAATTATTCTCTCGTGAGAATAATTTTGCTTAGAGACATTTATAAATTATGTCTTATGATATTTTTAGTATTAAATTGTAGTAATAAAAGGATATGTAACTTGAGAATTCTAACATTACTTGAAAGTGCTTGAAAATGATTTTATTTATAATATGAGATTGGACATTTTATTTATATCTGTGTATAATAAAAGGGACAACGCCCGACCGGCTTCAGAGAGACCGATGCGGCATTCGGAGAGATTCCATGGCAAGCGATGGTCTTGTGGTCGGAGGAACGTAAGATTTTGTGTTCTGGTGTTTTGATATCAGCAGATATCGTTCTGACAGCTGCCAACTGCGTAAACAGGTATTTTTCTTAAATGATTTATGATAATTTCTTTACCTTTACATAACTTTATCCAAGAGATATTTTTCAGAATACAACTCAGCAAACGTGAATGGATTAAAATGAATTGAAATTTTTTTCTATCCCAATGCGTATTTTAAATAGCGAATACTTTTTTGTTTAATTTAATTGGATTCAATTGGATTCAATTAGATTCAATTGGATGCAATTAGATTGAAAAACTGCATTTCCTATTCAAAATTTTGAATTGAACAGTATTCACAATGAATAGAAAAAGCTTATATTATTTTTAGATTGAAAGGCATAGAGATATGCTCCATGCAATTCCTATAAATGAATAAAAATGCATTCAGGATTGAAAAGCATTTATTTTAACATTCATGAATTAATATTTCTAAAAATCTAAATCTAATTCAATACATTTCAATCCATTCTCGTTTGCTGGGAATGGAGATATCTCCTGGATAAAGTTATCCGCAACTTATCTGAAAGTAAAGAAATTGAACATTAGTGTTATTGTAATTTGATTTAAAATTTCTTATCTTTTTACTGTTTTAATATTTTTTCAAAATTTAAATGTTTCTATTCAAATGTTCTGACAGCTGCCAGCTGCGTAAATAATTACTGATTTTAATTTATTATTTTATTTTAGGCGATTTATATCTTGTTCACCTTGCTTTAAGAAGCCGTAAGCCGTAATCTGTAAGAAATTGACCAATCACAGTCGATTATTTTTTTCCTATTCAATTGTGATTAGTTAATTTCTTAAGGCTTTAACCTCTTAAAGCAAGGTTGTGGACAAGGTATTATTGCAATGCTTAAATTTTATTTAAAATCTTCTATCTTTTTACGCGCCTTTTTTTTATAAAGGTACGCTTTAATTCTTTAAAATTCAAATATTTTCTACAAATTTATTCTTTAAAACTTTTAGAGTGAATCTTATGTTCTGAAGAATGAAATCTCACTCTTAAAGATTAAAAATTGAGCTCTCTTTTTTAAAACTAGCTAAATTTTTACTCTTTAGAGTAAGATTCCACTCCATACAATTTAGAGAGTAAATTACATATCAAATTATAAATAGAAATTTGTCGCGAAATATAAATCGTATAGAGCGAACTTAAAGCAAAATCGAGAAACATTATTTATCCTTTAAGAAAAGCTTGTTTTTTTATTTGCTTACTGACATGTCCACTTTTAGGTCCAATTTTACTGTTGATTAAATTCGGCAATTAAAGACATTTTTTTAAATTTTCTCAGATTTCCGGCGAGTAAACTGTCTGTGAAACTTGGAGAATGGAAACTGGGATATGAACTTGAACACGAGGAGCCGCTGCCATTCCAAATTATCAATGTACGAACGATCAAATATCATCCTGGATACGTAGAAGGATTGCCTGGTAACGATACTGCTATGCTCCTTTTGGAACATCCCGCGGTATTTAATTTACATATCAACACGCTATGTCTTCCCGATAACTATCAAGTGCAAGAAACTTCGCAATGCATCGTGACTGGTTGGGGCAAGTCGATACTACAAGGTAATGAGTCGACGTTTCCATCGCTTAAAAAAAATATTACACTTCACAAGCTATGCTAAAGATGCGTGACAGTAGCAAATAAAATGTAATAAATTTACATAAATGCAAATATTATTATTCCAGCTCATTACGCGGGTGCTATTATGCACATGGTTGATGTGGATCTTCTGACGCATGACGTTTGTCAAAATCGCGTCTTGGATGCAGAATCTCATATCAATGTCGCACATAATATAATCTGCGGTAAAGCGCATAAAGAAAATAATATGTGCCAGGCCGATGTCGGTGCTCCATTGGCTTGTTACGACGGTAACGGAGCCTACCATATCGCTGGAATTTACAGTCAAGATACTGGATGTTTGCCCACAAATCAGGTAAAACTATTATAATAAAACTAATTTTACAGCTACAATTTTTTACAATATATTTCGCATTAAAATAACTTAATTCACAGTCATTAATTTTATTCTATTTTATTTTTCCAAGAACTACGTTAAATAATAATTTTATTACAATAGGAAGTAAACATCATTTTTTCTCAAATAACATAATTTAGCTTTGTCTAATGGACTTTAATTTCTCTATTTTTTTATTTATATTTCCGTATTACCAAAATACATTTATCAATCTTGGGGATATAACTATAGCATTTCAGTCGTTAAGAATTACAGGATAGGCTCCTTACATAACATTTTACGGATTCTTCGGTGCTCGTTTTAGGTGGCGACATTCACACCCATTGACATCACCTGGCTGAAACAAACTATGTATGCGCCCGAGCCTAAAATAGATGCTAGCGATGACGGCTACGATTATCAAAAGAGTAATTTACCAGCGGGTAACGAATATTTGCCACCAGTGTAAAGGTAAACGGTATTCATACTGTTGTATAGCGTATTTCTTTTTTTAATACTCGCGAATGGTAGGACGAGGAAGCGACAGACGCAATCGTATAATACTCGATTTAGCGTAATGCAGAAAATAATTGATAGCATTTAATCGATTTCATGCTAAGTCGCGAGAAAAAGTCGGAGAGCAATTGTCGGGAGACCATTGCGCATTGCAGATAATTGTTGCCGATACTAAATATAGACTAAAAGTACTTTACGCTCCGCTTTTAAGTGTTGTTATTCGGAATTTTCATAATATAGGAAAATACGATATAATAATAGAAATCTATTAGAGTGTAAACAGAGCTCGAGAATCAATTCCATGACGTATGAAAAACCAGGTGTAACAATATGTATAATAAATAACAAAATATAATTTAGGGCAATATAATTTTTGTAATTAGTGAATAGCGGCTTTATATCAACTTATAAAATTTAAGGCCAATTTTCAATTGGTCACGAATGTTGTTATTACTTTAAACAACGGTATATCCTTTAAATTAGTTCACCTGATCTTCTTACATCGTGATTAATTCAGCATTGAAACAAAACAACTCTGAGCAATTGTATGACAATAAAAAGAATACATGAACTCTTAGATTTTATAGGTGCAAATATATTTATTTGCCTGGTGTAATACAAAAATAATATAAATGTGTCTGTACATAACGGAGAACATCGTATAAACGTATGCTTCTGCGAGTTTAGATTAAGCTATGGGGAAGAACTATATCTGTCAAAGAATTATATTACGTTTAATAAATATTTGTTAGAAAATATCAAAGAGATTTGTATATGAAAATGCAATCTCCTTTATTTACTTCTCCTCAAACCTTTATTAAAAAAGACATATAATTATAGGTGCTTTTCGTTGTTGGAAAGCAACGGAACACAGTTATATACTGTGTGATGTATTAATACACAGTGTCGATTTGTAGCTGAAATATTGATTAGTTTTTCTATTTCACTATCAGAGTGAAATAAAGAAAAAGATCTTATACACACATCCGAATATATCCGAAACTTGAAACTTCTTATCAAAGTATCACTCTTAAAATAAGTGGTAATGAAATGTAAAAATTTGGTATTCATGAAGTGATATAAAATGACATCGAATACAGCATTTTAGTTGTGTCAACTTGTGTCATAATTGGAAAGCACGGAATCGTACACTGTGTTACACAGTATCGCCTGTTAAACGTTATTAAAAAATACTTTATGCATATCTTTTTAATAAATACCTTCGCGAAAATATTAGAGAAATTAGAAAAATTAACATATAAATATATTTATTTCTAATTAATGTATTATCAATTAATCAGTTTATTTTTTTCGAATACGAATTGTTATAATTTCTATTTAACATTGCCACTACAAAACGCACAATAAATATTACTATAGCAACAACGATTGCTGCACAAAATAGAAGAAATCCGATAACATCGATAAGGAATAATTGCCACCAGCTTAAATCCAGCGCAGGCGATCGCAAACTATCCTCACCGTACTTAATGACGTACTCAACCCAATAATTAGCAGTGTCTAGAGCATTCAATGGCTGATCGAAGAATCGTTGGGACAATTTCCGTGCAGATTCTCTGAGATAAATAAATTATAAAAATTCATTCAATTAAGCTATCATTAAAATTAACAAAACATAGATGCATACAAATTCAAGAAAATGTTTGAATAGAAATATTATATAGAATATAGAAATATTATGTAGAAATAAGAAGATATGAAAGGACACATGAGAATAAATAATTCACAATTTACAATTTACAATTTAAAATGTGTATTTAGAATTTTATTATATACAATAAAATTTTAAAAATACACATTATATGTAATGAAATTCTAAATACACATTTTATATTTTATAATTATAGCACTATAATTCCGCGCAATTATTTACTCACATCTTATAAATTTATTGTTTGAATTACTTTAACAGTCTATTAGTAGTAAATTTTATCGTGTGTGTGTGTGTGTGTGTGTGTCAATTTAATATATAATATTTATTATATTTTAAAATATTTCATTTTATATATTATATATATAGAAACTCTTATTAAGTCAAATTATATAAATATAGACAATTAATAAATATAAATAAATAAGAAATATAAATTTTATCAATGCATAAATATGTTCTTGTCTAATAATAATATGCAAAATAAAAGATACGAATCTGCATACCTGTACAGAGGGTCTCGTAAGATTGCATTTAAGGTTGCGTCAAAGCTTTTTTCGGTGATCGTATCTATGTTCAATCGCAGGGCAACGTTTCTAGCGACATACCTGTCGATGTTTGTAAACTGATCGGCGAAAAGTGGTATACCGATCATGGGGACACCGCATACTATCGCTTCCAACGTGCCCATGAGTCCGCCATGAGTGATAAAGGCTTTTATGTTAGGATGTTCTATGGCATATTAGACAGTTTTATAATTTTCTTAATTCAGAAAAGACAATTTGATATTTACAAATATTCGCAATATTTAAATTTTATGTAAAAATTAAATGTCAGAGAAACATAAAACTTATATTTGTATATTTATCTTCTTTGATACTCACTCAATATTTTAATTTGTGGCATCCAAGGGGAAGTATAAATATTTTCGGGCAAACCGGCTGGCAATTTCTCCGGCTTCGGTATCTTCATTATAACACGCATTGGTGCTAATTTACTTAAGGAGGCGTAAAGTATTCTCAAGAACTCGCGTGGAAAAGTCTCAATCATTACCATCGAGCCAAAAGTGAAATAAATGAAACCATCTTTACTATCATTCATCCATTTCTCTAATTCCTGCAGCAAAGACGGTATTAGCATGAATAAAACAAATTATGTACCTAAATTTGGTAACAGTAAATGAATGTACAAAATGTTAATATGTTAGATAAAATAATATATTAATGCTATCAGTTAAGCTATCTTTTGTATAGATACAAAATGAAACAGTAATAATGAAATTACAACTAACACTACACGTGTTAAACAACATGTCAATTGTTATTTAATAGTTACATGTAAAGAACATCTAAGAAAAGAACATTTGTCGATTATTCTCGATAATGAAATGTACATTAATCAATAAATTTACATATACATGTTATTCACATGGTCATGCGGCTTGTTTGACATTTTTATTTCATGTATTTATGTTTGCTACTGTGTCGCATGATTAAGCGTTATAATTAATTTTAGACGAGGAAAAAATACGTATATCTCGTTTAATAAGTCAACAGCATCCGTTATTATGAATGAACTATATGATTACATATAATATGATCATATTTTTTTAGAGAAAAGAACAAAGCTGAAAATTTTAGGATTTTATTCTTAAACTATATTAGATATTGGACTGCTAATTAGAAATGAATTTCTCATAATATTATTAAAGTAATATTATTTCAAAAAATAAAAATTGAGTTTAAAAAAATAAATCTAAGGGATAGCTACTTGAAATAAAGAACTATCCTTTATAATAAGAGACGTATGGGTCACCATACATATGATAGACTATGTGTTCAAACTATTTTATATTTCATATTTTTGTTGTTAAAAAGACGTTATCGCGAAATATTTCACGATATTAAGAAACGATGAAAAGTTCAATGTTAATACAGTTATATGTCATATCCAGGCAATGACACAAACATAAGCAAATAATTTATTATAAAAAAACTGTCTACAAATTTAATTTTTGCAGATAAGAAATGAGGAAATGATGAGTGTTTTACACTATAAAATCTCGATCTTATAGCTTTCTTATTTTAATTATTTTTACATGCAAAACTCCGATAAGCATTTCCAGAGGAATCCTTGAAAAAAAAAAAAACATTTTGCACCCTGCTCACTTACGCATCAAATGATGTATTACTTTACGGAGGAGTATTATTAGCGTTGCTTACATTACAGAATATTATACGAGCTTGTGATTCGTTGGCATGCGCTACATCGAAAAAGTGAAAACGACCACAAAAACGGATCATAAGAGCCAACTTACAGGCTGCAATGTTTCGTTTCCGTCCTGGACGTGGATTCCCCCTACGTCTATCGCGGCAGCTGTCCTCGGTTGTATCCCATTTAGCGCGATGTGAGAGTTGATGAGAACGAGCGAAATCTTCTTTTCCAATTCCCGTACGCTCGGTATGTCCGGCCCGAAGTGCTCCCTTATTATTCTGTCTTGCTCCCGTGTCGTAAGATAATTAAAATGCCACTTGTCGAAGAATGTGTGCACGACGTTACACAAACGTTGCCAGAAATTCATGGGTTCGATGAAACTTCTAACGTTGTTTGGCACGAAGGCCAGATTCTCAGGTTGAGCGATCATATCATATAGCCACGGGTACAACGACGTAGTGCTGATCCCAATCAAAGGAACTTTTAATGTGTAAGCAAAGACACTGTAACATTGAGCACCAAAAACCTAAAATAAAACATACGAATATCTAAATAAACAATCATTAAAAAATTTTTATTAATTTGAAATATTAGATATTAATTAATCAACAATGCCCAAAATAATCGAGTCATACGTAACTCTGCTTTGACACTGTAAATATGTCGCTAAAGATGCTTGGCGTTGTGATATTCTTTTTTTCGATCGTGATTTAATTTATAGTATTTTATTGTGCAATTATGGAGTGCAGTAGCTCGCACTTAATCTAACAGCTAAATGACGGTTACATACTTCAGATTTGGTAATCTGAGAGACTCTCTTGCTGCACTCGATCACTTTGATTTACGACTATATATATATATACATTTACATACATATATATATATATATTGTATATGTATTTATAATTCCTAATTTGTGGCTATTAATACACATACACAGATTACACAACTTTTATTTGAAACATTTTTTTAATAAATAAGATATTGAAAATTTTTTTAATGTAGGAAATAAACAATATATTCAAGATTGCTAATCTTTTTTTAAAAAAATGTTAAATATTGTAAAAAATAATTTTAATTAAATATGATAAAGAACGCCAACAAGTAATCAAAGTTTCAAATAATACAATATATATTCTTTGTTTAAATTTAAGATATGATTGTGCGCCGAAATTCGGTCATTCCTATATCAAATCAATTTATCTTATTGTCAGATATGCCGAAACTTTAGATTTTCAACACAATCAATAGATCTAGATAAATCTGAGATATAATATAATCTCCCTAAATTAAGTACAATTTTTATTAAATCATAAGTATTTAGAAAATCTACGTGATGATGGAATTTAGCTTGCGACATTGTTTTTAATATCCATAAATCTATTACAAATACTTAGTTTGGTAATTTTTTGCTGCAAACTAATATATTTGATTGTTCAGCCTAGATGAAGGAAACAAGGAAATTTTGCCATTCTCTTTATTGTTCTAGATGTTTGCAAAAAGTGTTTGCTATAATTTAAAATGCAAGACAAGGGAAAGAAATTTTTATTCAATATATCGCGAATACTTATGCTTATGCAATCTACATATTAATAAGTGCACAGTGTCACGATATTTCTATAAATATTTGATTTTTATATCGCGTATAATTTCAAATTTGTATCAATTAATGTTTATTTTTGATGTCACCATATTTTTTTCAAATATTTCTAAAAAGAACTATTTACACGCCTTTTTAAAGAATTCTAAATTTCTTTTCATTTATTTAAGAGAATGTGATAATGAAAATTTTAACGGTTCGTTTAGCATAGAATATCTCGGTTTAGTTTTACCGATATTAAATTTACATCTAATTTATTCATTTTTATTTTAACTAAAATAATTACATTCCATTGAATTGTAAAAACTTGCATTAAATGAAATAAGATGCGTAAAAGAGATATGTACGTTAATCAAGAAAGTCACGATCGTCACTTTGATTCGTGATCATTAAAAATAATTTAGAGTAATTTATACATGTCATGGTCGTAATAACATAAATGATCATTGTATCAACTTCGTGTTCTTAGAACATTGAAAGAAGAATTAAAAGTTCATCTCTTACGTCAGAAACAACCGCGAACTATCTATTGACCTTCTCTTTACGTAAGAGGATTAGATAGAAGATTAATGTTACGAAATGTTAGAAAATTGATATGAATAATGATTGATAAAAATTTGTGATTTAAATCGGGCAAAATTACATTCTACATATTATTAATTGAAATATTGATGACAAAGTATTGTAGATTGTGCTTGTCATACATACATGTGTATGCTTCCTTTATAAAATTATTAGTTTTTACAAATAGAGTAAACAAAATTTAATCAATTTATAGATTAATAATTACGATTAAAAATTTAATTCTTAATAATATAATATATTATTACATAAATAATATAATATATATAATTTTTATAAACGATTATAATAAATGATTATATCAAGAATGATATATATAATTTTTATAGATGACTTTAATAAATGATTAAAATTTTTTAGTTGCCTTAAAATAAATGTTAGAATCAATTAAAGTTTTAATCGGTGGCTTTAAACGATCAAAATAAATCATTACATGTAAATATGATTAATTCAATCGATTAATTGAAAATTATTATCTGCTGCTAATTAAAAAATTAATCGTTATTTATTAATCACTGGTTTTTAATCAAGAAAAAATTAAAGCTATAATTAATATTTTTTGTTAGAAAGAAATTTTTTATATTTTATGTATAATGTTTTAAATATTAGATATTGTGAAACAATTATATAAATTATTATGTGATATAAAAGGAAAAAAACTTGAATTAATTATTATTATATTATTTAATACATTGAGAGAAATAATAATGAATACAAATTTTCGTGATGAGCAGTTTTCAGTTTCTCCTGTTAAGGGAATCTTGCAAAAGTTATCCTATTTTATTACGATTTTTTGCAAGTGAATTTAGCAAGTGTCTAATGATTTTGCAATCGAAAAGCACTCAAAGTGAAGTCTGAATTCCGATAGGATCGCTATTTTACTCATAAAATGCGAGACATTGTTATACCTCAGAGAGCACAAAGTCGTCTAAAAGATAATTAAAAGACGACTAAATTGTTATAAAGATACCTTTTAATGAAAGAATATAGTTGATGAAAAGATGACTAAAAGACGACAAATATCGCACTGCTAGTCATTTTATAGTCTTATCCATGTGATAACTAAAGGATGACTTCTTTAGATATCTTTTAGTCATCTTTAATACTTCTTTTAGTTTTTATATTTTGATACAATATAACGTTTAATAACGTTTAATAAATCGAATTCCTAAATTAATTTTTACACAAAACGAAATAAAATTGCATGACTGACAATATATGTCCCATTTCCTGCAATGTTTCCTATGCAAGATTCATTATCTTTCATCATAGTTCCCTTTAGAGACTCGATTACAAAAAAATATTTTATTAGTGTTTATTAGAACACGAATAAAATTTCTCATAATGCTGCACCTTTTCTGTTCTATATGATTTTCCAACACGACAAACTGTATTCCATCACGTCCATCTGGTGGCGATCTCACTGTTCGCGATTGAGTGATAAAAAGTATTAAAGTAACGGAAAGATATTTTTTTCATTGTTTTTTCGACAATACGAAAAGATATCTTTTAGTCGACCTTTTGCTTTGCAAAAATGGCAACCATAGAAGGATGATAAAAATATGTCTTTTTGAAACTGTCTTTTCGACAAAACTAAAACATGTCTTATAGACATCTTTTGATTTTGTTGAAAAGACAATTTAAAAACAATGTCTTTTCGTCATCTTTTAAACATCTTTTCGCTTTGTCGGAATTTAAAAAAGACTTTTTTCATTAACTCTTTTCGTTATTCTTAGATTTTGTGCTATTTGGAATATTATTATAATACATCATGTTGCATGCACACATTGCATATATATATATATATATATATATATGCAATGTGTGCATGCAACATGATGTATTATAATAATATTCCAAATAGCACAAAATCTAAGAATAACGAAAAGAGTTAATGAAAAAAGTCTTTTTTAAATTCCGACAAAGCGAAAAGATGTTTAAAAGATGACGAAAAGACATTGTTTTTAAATTGTCTTTTCAACAAAATCAAAAGATGTCTATAAGACATGTTTTAGTTTTGTCGAAAAGACAGTTTCAAAAAGACATATTTTTATCATCCTTCTATGGTTGCCATTTTTGCAAAGCAAAAGGTCGACTAAAAGATATCTTTTCGTATTGCCCCGAAAAGACAATATGAAAAAGATATCTTTCCGTATGAAGATGCATTTCATGAATTTCCTTCATGTCCAGATCCATTCTTGGAATGCCAACTAACATTCGTTACTCAAGGCTGCTCCC